GTCAAATCAGTTCATTCAGTCAGTCAGTTTTGTCAATCAAATCTTGGCCGAAAACTTTTAAAATCTTTAAGATAGTTGTATTATGAAGGCTACTGAAAGTCAGCTGCGATTTCGCGGATGGGCTGAGGAGCAAGGACCCTCGCAAACAGAGTATTTTATTGATAAAAATAGACCTTATGCACTATAATTTTAAAGTACACATTAGTTCTTATTTATTTCATTTATTTTAACAGATTGTCTACTGTCGAAGGTACGTTGAGGAGTCGTCTGATGATGTCTCCTCAACCCACCCTCGGAATCGCAGCTGACTTTCACTAGGCTTCATAATATAGCTATCTTAACAATATTAGAAGTTCAAATAAGCAGTGAAGTGAAATATTTGACGAAATTAGGCTCTGGCTCGGAACTATAAGTTTCAGCACTGTTCGGTCTTTTCTAATAACAATTTTTACTTTTTATTACTTATCTTTATATATAAAAATTACGTGTCACGTTGTTTGTCGCGATGGACTCCTAAACTACTGAACAGATTGCAAATTGATTTGCACATTGTGTGCAATTTGATCCAAACTGAAAGATACGATAGCTTACATCTCAATTTGTAGTCGCAATATTATTTTATTCAAGAACCTTAGCCACAGCAACGCGTGGCCGGGTCTGCTAGTATATATACATATAAAGACTGCTCTGTGCCACTGTAAATAAAAAAAAATCAAACTTATCGAAACAATTTTTAGACAGTTGCTTGCCACACTTATATACTCTGTGTCCCTGTGTTTGTTCGTGCAAGAATTGTTATTCTGCCCTCTAACAGAACGCTTCGACATTAATATTTAACTATTATTACAATATTTTATAAATAGACACACATTACAATATTACACTGCTTGTATTGGAAAAGTTTCGCACGTTTTCAGGGAACACCAATATTGTAATTAATCAACGGCAATATGATAATCTTAACCGTGATAATTTTATTCGAACTTCGTTATTATACTATATGGCCTTTAGAATAGAAGATATCGTATTTAGAAAAATAGTTCAATGTAAATAATAAATAAATAAATAAATAATCTCTGTACAATTCACACAGCGCCATCTAGACCCAAATTAAGCTACCTTGTGTTATGGGTACTAGACAACTGATACAAATACATAGATAAAGTTTTTTTTTTCGTAAATACTTACATATTATATATAGAAAATACCCAGACCGATACAAACAATCATACTCATGAATACAAATATTTGTGCCGTGCGAGGAATCGAACCCGCGATCATCGGACGTAAAGCGGTGTGCTTGACCGCTAGACCACCGAGGTCCTATTACCTATTCTATTCTATTCTATTCTATATTTAAAGTTTCCCTCTGATCAATCCCCCGACCAATTCAAACGGGGATCGAAATTACGACGATCTGAGCTGAGTGCTAAACCCTAGCAGCACCCTCTGACTATGCGTATGCGTCAGGCGAGAGTTGAACTTCAACGCTCCTTACGTCCTTCCGCGGGTTCAGAGTGCCATCTGCCCTCGCCCCCAATCGTTAGGGGAATCTGTAAGGTCCAGCTGGGATCAACAGTGTTAGAATAGTTCGAAAAAACTTCATATCTATATACTTATATCAGTTTGCTAGTAACCCTAACACCAGCTCTACATTTCAGAGACACCTATCTTTCGGAAAAGCAGCAAAGGCCAGCTGCCGCAGGTAAGCTGCCGAAAGCATTAAGATTGTTAAAAAAAAAACCTTTATGTCTAGGTATTTTTATCAGTTGTCTAGTACCCATAACACAAGCTCTACTTAGCTTGAGACTAGATGAAACTGTGTGTAATGTTCTATGAGCTATTTTTATTATTGCGAAAATTTGTGAAAATATGGTCAAATTGATAAATAAATTCACACAAAGGTGTATAATTAAAAAAAACAATTAAAATACTACGTGATCTTTGTACCACAGATGATTAATAACTCTATGACCTGACTAATGATTTTTACTAATGACCCATGACCTAAATCTACGCAGTCATGAACATTTATGCTCATAGAACTAGAATAGAATAGAATCAGTAATTATTACATATTGTTAACCTTACTTACGTAATTTTATAAATATGAAATTGAGTAGAGGTCAAAAATTAAAAGAGCTAAATTAATACTCAAGTTTTTTTCAAATTCAAGTTCAAAATATCTTTGTTCATGTAGGTCTATTACAGACTCTTATGATATGTAAATCTACTGTATATGACCAACCGATATGTAATTAAATTGTCAATGATTCTTTCAAAGAATATAATTAAGTTTTTATTTTATACTTTAGCAATATAAAGAATCAACAAATGGCAAAGATATTACGTAATATTCAAAACTTCTTAAAGATTGTTACGATATATTGTTACACCTGAATGAATTAATTATAATTATTAATATATATTTCAATGTAGGTCTGTATATTTTAATATATGAATAAGAATACGAATAATTTATTGCTGCTAATGAAATTACATAAAACAAAATACATTTAAAAGATAATTAAAGGCGACAATAGGACCCAGTTCAACGTATACCGATAGGATGAAGAAGTCATGCTCGTTATGAAGTTCAAACTTGTGGCGGCGTGGTGGGCCGGGTCGATGTGCTCCCTCTAATATGGTTGAGTGCAATGATGGCTGGCTCATCCGTCATAATCGTGAACGGGTGTTGCTTGTGGGGACTGGTCTGTTCAGGTTGCGAACACTGATTATATTTTTTGATTTTTTTGATTTTTTTTATATAGCATATGCTGGTGGTCACTCCATTCTCCCAAATTTGAATTTAAATGAAGTAGTATTATTGTAAATATGTACAACATTAAAAAAAAATACGAGCTGAGTTTCTTGTCAGTTCTTCTCATCTCGAAATCATTCCGAACTGACGGTAGATTTGACATATCATAAGAGTCTGTAATAGACCTAAATGAATAAAGATATTTTGAATTTGAATTTGAATTTGATGCTCCTGTGCGATGCTGGTATTCAACCCTTTTTCTCAAATTTGAACTTCATATAAAAAGTTAGTTAAACCTTTTTTTTTACTACGATAGTGGCAAACAGGTATACAGTCCATCTGTTGGTAAACAGTTATCGTAGCCTATACACGCCTGAAACTCCAGAAATGTCATGTGCGCGTTACCAACCCTTAAGAAACCTTAATATAAGATACCCTTCTTGATAAACCCCATGCTGTAGTCTCGGGAGAAAACCTCGGCAGATAGTTCATTCCACAATCTAAGTGTACGCGGGAGGAAGCTCCTCTAAAACCGCACTGTCAGAGACCACTTATAGTTGAGTCAAAATAGACATTTAAGTTAGCCCAATTTCGTATAGAGCTGAATTAGGTCCTAGCGTATAGGGTTGAATTCCCTGTCGATGGCAAGTGGTGAGTAGTTTAAAATCATAATTGTTCGACATGATTTACGACACAGATTGAAAGGTTGTATTATAATTTTTCTACATAGAATAGAAATGTATGTATTTATGCAATTTCTCATTACATATTTAATTAGTTGGTTGGATTGTATAATAATTTCTAGTACATCCAAACTTCCGTGTTTTTGTTAAATTTTAGAAACATTCACACACTTGTTTAAATTTTGGGTTCGTGTCACTAATTCCGGGTTTGGTTCGCACGGTGTGCTAGCGATTCTTTTGTAATTGGTTTAATTAAATTAATAACTATGATCGTGCGGTAACTATAATCGAATGAAGGCACATTTTGCAAAATGTACATTTATATCCTAACTAATTATAAATGCGAGAGTAACTCTGTCTGTCGTGCCAAAACTACTGAATCGATGTAAATGAAATTTGGTACACAGGTAGATTAGATCATGAGATACATAGGCTACAATTTCAATGCGAAAAAGGGTTGTAAAGGGTTGAAAAGGGAGATGTATGAATTTATCGTAATTTTTAAAGCTAGTAACTTATTTTATAGACTGTTGTTTAAATATATAATAATAATAATCTCAGGACAATTCACACAGCGCCATCTAGTCCCAAGTTAAGCTATCTAAAGCTTGTGTTATGGGTACTAGATAACTGATACAAGTATATAGATATTTTTTTTCGTAAATACATATATATCATACATAGAAAACACCCAGACCGATACAAACAATCATACTCGTGAATACAAATGTTTGTACCGTGCGAGGAATCGAACCCGTGACCATCGGACGTAAAGCGGTGTGCTAGACCGCTAGACCACCGAGGTCGTCAAATGTAAATAAAAAAATATAAATAAATATTACATTTAAAGTGCGTAAAAGTTTTATCCTAAAGGGGTAAAATAAAATAGGGGATAAAAGTTTGTATTGAAATTCGTCACTTATGAAGATAGAACGATGCAACTTTTTTCTTTTTCATTTTACAATCCGCAAAATCATTATGTTTTGGCAAAAGATGGAAAAACACAAAACGAAGTCTACAAAAAGTACTTAAATTAGCTCATACATTACATTTTATATATTTTAATAAACTCTTTGCAGTGAAACACTGCTTATTAAAAGAACTTATAGGTGTATCTTATTGGTAAAATATTTAGCCTAAATAATTAAAATATATACTAGTGTATATTTGTAAATAGTTAAAAAATTAATGATCTCATTCTGTATTAATTTTTTTTTATGTAATTGAAACGGTGAACAAGCTATCGGCCACCTGATGATGAGTGGTAACCGACGTCCACGAGCACTATTGAGAGAGTACGCTCTTTATAGCAAATCAGAATTATTTAAAGGTAGACTTCATACAAGGTCTGCCTCTGATTAGTTCTTAGCTTCGTCCTTCTGAACCACACAACGCAAATTGATATGGTATTAACTATTATGGTGCTCTTCACCTTTTATTACTGCAAAAACACGTCATAATTCACCATCATTTGAACTGCACGTTTTGAAACCCGTTTCAATAACAAACAAAGTAGATTTTAGTTGTACAGCGCAATAACTTACAAGTGTACTTACTTGATCGTTATCAATAGCAGACGAATCTTCATTAAGATTATTTATTGAATAATCAATAATATTATTAAAATCCTTCTCGTTTTCAATGACATCATTCGTTTTAGGTGATTCAGTGACGTTCAATACAGTATATTCAATGGTTGCATCTTTATATAACTCTACATAATCTATATTAGGATAATCTGTGTTATTATCATCATCAATCCCAAAATATGAATCATCCAATGATACTTCATTGTCTTCTAAATTATCCAGACTATCAACCATATTGTTAACGTCCGTTATGATATCTTCAGTTGTTGAATTGTTCACATTTATTGATATTTCTTGTACTAATTCAGCATTGTTTGTTATATCTGTTGTAGTATCAGTTCTACCTTCAAACCCTTTCGGAGATTCATCATATTCGAATAGTTTTAATAAAATATGTGTTTTATTATTGTTGTATGATCTTGACAATACTGATTGATCCGTTTTATCACTATCACCTTTTATTAAACTTGAAATATCTGATACAATTTTATGAAATTCACTACCGTTCACATCTTTAACTTCGTAATATGTAAAGTTTTTTAAATTCTCATCACTATGTGTAGTATTGTTGATAGATCCAAAGAAATTATTAATGAAATTACCTAAACACTTGAAATAATTATCACACTCACAATTAACATTAATGAAGAGTACGCACAATGTGAGAAAATGTTTGAAATACATTCTTACAATGAGCTTCCGACAAAAGCGTGTATACCATATAAGAAATCGTAAACAAATGCACGAGATGTATAAGATTTTGCTTTAGTGGTCAGAAAAAGATAAATTTGCGTTTGGATTGTGTCGTAACGCCTTGTATTTAAAATTCAAATTGACTTGGACGACTGTTGTATGGTTTTGGTGTCACCTTGAAGCGTGCATAAAAACGTTGATGGATGAACAGTTTTGAGTGGATAATAGAGCTTATAAAAGCTTTAGCATTTCCAACTAAGGTACTGTGGATTATACGTTTGTTTCTCTAAGATTTTGCAAGTATAGTTGTAAAATTGTTGACCTCTAAATCATCTAATACTGAGATGGGGATTGTTAGTAATGAGGACTATTGACCCCATTACTAATAATATACCAGGTTGACCTCTACGCGGTTCTTCCTGCAAAGCATCTTGATAAATTCCCTGTGGTAAATCCACGTTGGACTAACTGACCTGACCCTGGACCTAGGACCCGCAACGTAAACCATTAGCGAAAGGAGGGTGAACCATTCCATATTCATATTAAAAAAATTATATCTAAAACTAGTAACTATTAATCTATACATATAAATTGGAGTGTCTGTTTGTAATTTTGAAGTAACCGTTTTTACTACTTGCATATAAATATATATACGGTACATATACCAAAGTAACATTTTTTATAATTTTTGTCTGTCTGTTTGTCGGTCTGTTTGTTCCGGATAATCTCTGAAATGGTTGGATTTTGACGGGACTTTTTTTGAAAGGTAGATGATGTAATAAAGAGTAACATATGCTAATTTTATTTTAGAAAAAATCTTTAATTTTAGAAAGTAAAGTTAAACTCGCGGTTACAGCTAGTTTTTAATTAATTCATAACATTATTTTCTCTTTATATTACTATACACAGAAACACAGAATGCAAATATAATTTTATAATAATGATGCAATAAAAACAACATTCGATATTGTGCTATTATGTAGCAAGTAGCCTAGTAGTTTACTACCTTCATAGATGCCAAAGGTCGCGGGATCAAATCCGATAAAGTTTTATTTTGTAAGTAATCCTTACTAATATTATAAATGCGAAAGTAACTCTGTCTGTCTGTCTGTCTGTCTGTCTGTCTGTCTCGCTTTCACGCCAAAACTACTGAACCGATTTAAATGAAATTTGGTACGCAGATAGTCTATACGCCGAGGAAGGACATAGGCTACTTTTTAATGCGAAAAAAAGGGTTGTAAGGGGTTGAAAATGGAAATACAAGGTTATCTTTATGCGGTTTAATACACACATAGTATAATACTGGCTTAACTAAAAAATTAGAAATTTTGGAAAGTCTACTTTATAACTGTGGTATTAAGTCTAACTTTAAAAATTTTAAATTTCTGAATTACACCAATATTGTACTAGATATGCGACATAAATAAACATAAATGTCATTTGTATAAGCAGCGCGCATGCGAAGTTGCGCGAGCAACTGATTATTGTCAATCCGTTGTCTCCTTATAAATTTAAATGTATAATCGTTTGCTCTGCAATATTATTTTATAAATACATAAATATAATCCTGGTACGGGCTATAACTGATGACCCTGCTCTTGGCCAAGATCGTAATCACATATTATTAATATTTTTGAAGATTAAAACAATATATAATATTAAGAATGAAGTTGTCTATACATATGAACAACATTTCCTTGGAAGAAACAACATCTACCGTTCCATCCGAGCTATTCAGGGTTGGAATACGCGTTTCTCCCTTCTGGCCAGTAGAGTCAAAGTATGGTTTGCGCAAGTAGAGGGATGTTTGCAATTTAGAATATCACATCTATTATTTTGATTTAACAAATTTTTATTATGTTATTGGCCAACTGGACCACCAATTTACAAAAGAAGTTAAAGAAATTTTTAGACTATACATTAAATATAAATAAATATGACATTTAAATTTGTAAAAATGTCACCATTCAAGGGGTAAAGTAAAATAGCAGATAATAGTTTTTATGGAAATTCGTCATATTTGAAGCTAGAACGATGAAACTTTTTTCATTCGCTTTTTTGTCAGTTGGTCAGTTTAATAAATACCTTACTAATATTACGATAGTGAAAGTAACTCTGTCTGTCTGTCTCACTTAAATGCCAAAATTACTGTACTGATTTAAATGAAGTTTAAAATCTAGATCCTGAGAAAGGACATAGGTTACTTTTTAATCCGAAAAAGGGTTATAAGAGATTGAAAGAGGAGGTTATATAGAAGTATCGTCATTTTTAAAGGTTGAAGCTTGAATCTTATTTTTTGCGTATTGATTAAATATAATTAACGAAAATGGGTTGTAAGGGTCAAAAGGTGAAATATGGTATGCAAGTATTGACATTTTTAAAGCTAGAAGCTTGAAACTTATTTTTTAGGCTGTTGAGAAAATATTAGTACCTACCTTCACAGGACTCAGCCATAAGTGAAATTTTCATTTTTGGAGCTAGAACGATGAAACTTTTTTATTGGGTTAGATTATTAATATATATATTTTATTATTTGGTTAAGGTCACTATTTTACGCGGACGAAGTCGCGGGTACAGCTAGTACTTTATAATCGGCAAACTGTGCTCGCAGTTCTAAGGACTGAAAATATATTAAAACTAACTATATATAATAATAATAATATCTCAGGACAATTCACACAGCGCCATCTAGTCCCAAGCTAAGCAGAGCTTGTGTTATGGATACTAGACAACTGATATACTTAGATTTTTTTGTAAATTTAATTTATTTGTACATGTTTAACATACATTAAATACAAACAATCATACTCATGAATACAAATATTTGTACTGAGTGAGGAATCGAACCTGCATGAATATTAAGGGTCGGCAACGTGCACATGACACCCCTGATGTTTCAGGCGTCCATAGGCTACGGTAACCGTTTACCATCAGGTGGGCCGTATACTTGTTTGCCACCTACTTAGTATAAAAATCACCACTTGGTGGTCAAATTACTGAATTTTGATTTAATCTGTCAAAAATATAAATTGACACATTTTTTTTGTGTCGCACAGAATCGAACTCAAGATTACTAAACCGATTTAAGGAAATCTGTGTACTATACCATAATACACTAAATATCACTTTATATAATAATAGGAATAAAAAGCCGAAACATAGAATGCGGCTGTAATCAGCAATATGATTATTTATCTATATAGTAAATCGCATTTTTAAGAACAAACTGTATTAACTCCAATACTACGTACACTGGAAAATCGACTTTATACCTTTAATCTTAGAGTCGATTTCTCAATATTGGTATTTTCTACTTTAATGCAATTTATTACGCGTACGATAACAGATTATATAAATGTTATGACTTGTTGCTCATTCCCATGATAATAATTAATTTTATTGCTCGAGAGAACAATATGGTGACCAAATTTTGTGTAATTTATTAGGACATTTGTCTCCTCACCAGAACACGTTAACATACGTAGGGGACCACGAATTTATTTAATTTATTTATTTATTTATTTATTAGCATACAAAACAGATTACAGTCAATATAATAATATAATAGGAGCATGTAGTTCGGTACAGAACTGGATTGTAATCCAACACTATGTATGCCTAAAAACTAAATTATATAGACGCAATCAATATACGCTAGATAATTAGATAAGGTTATATAATAAAAAGTAAACTAAATAGAAAATGATATATAACTACGTAATGCAATGAATTATCATGTTAACAGAATTTTATTTATATTAAAGAAAAGAAAATTGGTACAATGTTAAATATAATTTGTCACTTTACGGTGGAAATTTAATTGTCTCCGGCACTGGACCAGCGTTGAATGGAAAATATCTATATTTCTATTCGAGACAAGAATTTCATTGTATTGGCGACACATTCGAACTATTGGATTATAATAAGTAAGTATTATTTGAGTAAACCTGAAGATAGAAGGTGTTATAATTGGCAAACGTAGTGTAGGACACTGCGCAACTAGGTCAAGCGACGACATACGTAGGGTTGCTGGTAATAACTGGCCAATGGCGTGCCTTGGGAGAGCCCTATGTCCAGCAGTGGACTTTTTTTTTTCGGACTACTCTAATGCTGTTGGCCGTAGCTGGCCTTTACAGCTTCACCGGACGTTAGGGGCGAGTGCAGATGGCACTCCAAACCCGCGGAAGAACTTATGGAGCGGCTGAAGGCCAACTCCTGCCTGACGGATACGCCAGTGGACTACAGTAGGCTAATGTTAATATTATTATTAATATTAATCCCAGGATAATTCACACAGCGCCATCTAGTCCCAAATTAAGCAAGCTAAAGCTTGGGTTATGGGTACTAGAAAACTGATACAAATACATAGATATTTTTTTTTGTAAATACATACATATTATATATAGAAAACCAGACCGATACAAACAATCATACTCATGAATACAAATGTTTGTGCAGTGCGAGGAATCGAACCCGCGACCATCGGTCGTAAAGCGGTGTGCTAAACCGCTAGACCACCGAGGTCGTCGAAATGTTGATGTTAATAGTGATTTGGACATTTCTCCGACAATAAAATATTAATACACTTCCATCTAGACCCAAGTTACAAACGATCGCTCAGGTCAGAAATTTTCAGATCAGGTCAAAAGCTACCTTCTGTACACATACAAATTTTATACCTATTTTAAGGTGTTCTTTATGGACAATAATGGAATGATGGTATACCGTTAGCGCCTGCGGGAGCTTGCACTAACGGGGCACCAATGGAAGATGATAAAATGAGCATGAGGTGAGGTCTTTTAGCTCAACCTGACATGGTACATTGGTAGCAATAGCTTCATTAATCCTAATTACTAACAATCCCATTAAAATGGGAGAGAAATCCCCCTATTTTAAGACGTAGCACAAAATCGTCTGAATGGATATATATCTTGGTTTCTTCCATGTTATGGAAACTACTCTCTGCTACCAAAATGTTAGGGAATTTACTATGTATATATATAGGG